TTTAGGGTCGGGTTTCGATTTAGGGTCGGGTTTGAAAAATGTCCCTATATTTAGGGACGGATTCCCCCAAACCGACCCTAAATTAGGGTCGGATTTAAAGTCATGCATGATTGAGGAACGCTCCAGAGGAGAGTTGATCATCAGCTTGACTGAACGCAGAGGACATGCTTGACTGTAATGCTGAACGTAATGGCAGATCTATACTGTTGAGTAATGAGAAAGCCTACCCAGAAAAAAAACGTTACAATTCCTGTGCATTTGAACAGGACGTCGAGCTCCTGTACATATGCACAGCCTCCTGTACATATGAACAGGCAGGCCGTCCATTTCCTGTGCAATTGAACAGGCGTTGCTACGGTATCCTGTTCGATTGCACAGGAAATTGGACGTTTTTGAATTCAGGCCAAAAAAATGGCTGGCCTTGCTCTCAATCTGCGGGCATCCTCCCTGTTCATATGCACAGGCTGTATGTAGTGCTCTCTACCCCCTGCCCTTATCTTGTGCTCTAGAGCAGATCAAGATCTTGATCTGGCTCTTGTAAGAATGCGTGACCAGAACTGGAACCAATTAAGTAAGTCATCAAAGAAGCTTTCTGGAACATGGAACATTATCGAAAATGACGACCAATGACCTTCGATTCTTCCACCTTCTTTCCTCGGTCTTGATGCGAACACTGGTCACTGAGTGCTCAAAGTGATAGAGACACACCAAACAAGCCACGTGCTTTCGTCATACTTTTACGGTACTACATTTCTGCAACAGTAGTTGCACAGTGTCAGTATGTGCTTCACACTACTACTTAGTGGATCTTACATACCCTCAGGATCAATGACAGTATGCTACGTAGAAAACCTATGGTATTGGCAGTCATTGAAACAAAGATCCTCTCAATAAGACTCTCACTATTAAATAAACTGCAACACATGAGATATAACACCAGCATTAAAGCCAACCACATACTGAGAGGATTCCGATTTCGCCTTAAGTAGCCAAAGGAGGTATCCAATCGTTCTACAACCGATCCGTTCGTTGCATGTTGCAGCATACTGTTCCGACTGGTGGTACTACGTTGTGGCATACTCAGGGAATCCCGTGCCGTAAAGTATGAGGCAAAAAAGAATCCCGTGCTGCAGAGAGGCAAACAACGCAGCACTCGTGCAAGATTTCGAGGCCGATCGTCTCCGTAGCTACTAGTAGTACTGGAGCTACTTGCTAGCTGCTAGATCGACACTAGCTAGCACTTCATTTCTTCCTTTCAGAGCTCATTATTTTCATTCCTTCAACTCTATAAAGGAACTCTGCCAAAATTCCAGCTCAGCAACCAACAATTGCTTAGTTGAGCAAACAATTCCTTCACCATGGCCAACAATGCCAATGCTGGAGCAGCCTTTGGGTTGGAGGACGTGCCGGATTTGCCTGAAGCACCCACGGAACAGCCCAAGTACAACCGGGATTACCATCGTCTCTTCGTCAAATTCATGAGCTGGCTGCACAAGAGGACATACACCAAGCGGCTCGCTTCCAACCTAGTGCTTTGGCCGGCATCCAACCACACCACGTTGCCGACTACTTGAAATGGCGTGCGTATGGACGACCGATGTTGACTTCAAAGACCTCGAGCAAGAATCCAACTTGCCGCTCCTCTATCTTGAGCAAGACAAGAAAGCTATCTCCTTCTACATGCCCATCAAAGGTGCCACATGGAATGGAACCTCCGGCAATACAACCAAGTCCGATCCTGGAACGAAGTGGTCAAGGAAGTCAAGAAAGCGGAGACTCAACACCGCGGCAAGAAGTCCTTGCCACCAGGGATTTGACGGAAACTGAGTATCGCAAGGTGGTCCATGAACTCTACGGCAAAGGGAGCTTTGAATCACCATCCGTACAGCCTGCATGTTGAAGCAGCAAGTCCATCTCATCACCAGGACGGACGACATCTCCAAGCTGAAGTATTCGGACTACAAGCCGCATCCAGACTTCCCTTTTGCGCTCAGTTGAAAGGTGCATTGGTCCAAGAATATTTCGGAAGAACGACAATTCCCGACCAAATCATTCTTGGTTCGATGGATACGACTTTTTTGCTATGCTCGGATTGGCGGATTACATGGAGGCGTCCTTCAAATACGGGTATGGCGCCGCTGTTCGGGAAGATGCATTCCTATTTACTCCCGAAAGCGATCATAAGTTGGCTCCCAAGCACTGAACGCAGCCTACCGCAACATTCTCAAGGCTGTCTTTTTGTCGGCTCCATTTCTGGCTGTGGCGCTCCTCATTGCTGGTGTTCTTGGGAGTCACAGCATTCGGAAGTTTGCAACAACTCTGGCAAGAGGGATGGGTGCTACTGCTGATGAAGTTGACATTCGAGGTCGCTGGAAAACTCGCTTGTCTGGACGGGTTGTTGATGCCTACATTTCGCCTGAACAGCCCTGGATCGACGCTCGTGTTGCCGAAAAGCTTTGCATGGGGGCTCCTATTGCCTACAAGCTACACCCGGATGCCAAGAGAGTGACTCCCGACTGGTTGATTGAGCATGTGGTGCCAAGGACACATGCCTTTTACGACGGTGTCAACGACATTTCGCTTCACTTGGCTCTGCTCTTTTGTGGGCTGCTCTTGACGAATCTTGGGAGGAGAGGATGGAGCCTCCCGTTCGTGTTAGGATCCAAGATGCGTACGAGCGCATCAACGCCGATCTTCCTGTTGGCGTGAACCCTGTGGTGAAAGTGCCTCTCTCTATTTGGACGCACAACACCAAGCTCCACATCAACGAAATCGAGCCGATGGATACGGGAGGTGGCGGTGGCACGGCTGGTGGCACTACGGGAACGACCGCCAGGCAAGCACTCGTCAAGTTGCCAATCAGTCTCGGCAGGTGACGGCTATGCAAACGCAACAGAAGGTACGAACGAACGAGGAGATTCTGACAAGGATTATTGCGCAGCACAACCAGCTCCAGCAGCTCATTGCGCAGGAAGGTAGGACCCGCGACAGTTCGGCTGCTGCTTTGAGAGGTTGGTTGGAGACTTGGCTTGGCGCGGAGCTGACGAAACTGAATGGAAATATTTGCAGGTAAGTGTGGACTTGTGGCTGTTGGCTATTGCAACTATGGCTATTACTGCTGCTAACTCTGTATTTTTGTATTCTTTTTAGGATTGCTGTTCAGCTCCAAGGATGGCAACACCTGATCAGGTAGATGGTAATCTTTTTAGAAATGGGTTGACTGTGGAAAGGACTCGCCGGAATGGCCAGACTAGCCTCAGGTACAGACAAGCTGTGGCCACCACCCTGCTGATAGTAGGCCTGCCAAGCTAGCCAAGTACAGAACTGTTGGCTCTGCTTGGCAAGAGTGGATGCATGGTATTGGTGGCAACAAGCCAGCCAAGAACTTCACTGCTGATGATATCAGGGCTTGCAAGTCAACCTACTCCAGGAGGAAGCCACTCTGGACTCTCATGGCTACACTTGTCAATGCTCAGAAAGCTCCAGCTTGGGTCATCTTCAAGATTGAGGAGCATTACAAAGGAAGTGTTTTGAATATTACTGCTGCCATCAAGCAGGACACCATTATGGGCAGTCTGCATGAGGATCTTTGTATTGTCCGTGCTCAGTAAAGTTGACCTTAGTTTAATCAGCATGGTAGCCATGCCTTATAGTGAGTTTGTTACATGTGGACTTGTCGTTTTCGTGGACTTGTGGCTTTTCGTGGCTTTTCGTACGGATTTCGAGGACTTGTGCTTTTCGAACGTACGTACGCTAGCTAGCTACTAGCTAGTAGCCAGCGATTTCGTGGATTCGTGGACTTGTGCTTTTTCGTGGAGCAAGCAATTTCGAGAGCCAAAGAGGTGCGTCCGTTATCTTAACAGTGAGTAGTAGAGGTGCGAGCCTCATTTTTCTTACGGTCGAGGACGTGACCTCCTCAGTGGTATAAACGAACTGATCAACCAGCGTACACCAGGTGTTGGTGGTGTTGGTATCTCGATCGATAGGATGGATGGTACCTCCTGTAGGATCCACTACTACTCGTACAGGCTCTCAGTATTCCTCTCAGTTCTGGGATATACTTTTACGGTACAGTCCCGTACACCATCCAGTGTCGCTAGTACGTCGCTACTGGAACGGTAGGTATCTTTCTCCCAACTTAAAATAGCAGTTAAGCTAGAGCTAGACTATCTACTGTACTAGATGCTGTATTTGCTAACAGTTTTGGCTGAACAGTGTAGTGCAGCCCAATCCCATCACCAATGAAGGATGCATTATTCCAGTCAGATCTGGTGGGTAGTACCGGTACCTGTCTAAACTATTTCAGGAAAGAAATACATCCATTCCATCCCAGGCGGATCAACCTTCGCTTCCAGCTTTCCAGCCAGCTAGCCGGCAGGTTTGGGACTGTAAAAACCGAGTGCAGCCATTATTTGAGGAGCCCCTACAGTCGTACCGGGAAAGCGGACAATTAAAAAGTCGGGGTCAATCGAACTCATTTGTTCGTCATGCTAGCATGGATGTATTGCACGGATAGCTACCAACCCCATGGGGGGTCCCTAGGTGCAGTATTCATTTTCATATAGTTTATTCAGCACAAGTTCTTAATACCTGAAACAGCTCCTGAAACTGCACGGTACCTTCAATGTCCGTGTAGAACATTTCAGATGATGGCAGTTCCTACAGCACGATGGAGTCCTCAGTCGTTCCGTTGATTGCACAAATATTGGCTAAACGAGTGACAGTCAATCGCCATGCCGCCAATCTCAATTTGCCCTTCCTATAGTGCCGTAGCACGGACACAACCTCGTTGATTGTTTGCCCTGGACCAAGTGGCAATGGACGTCGTGAGTGCATCAATGGCCGAGCCCGTGGGCTAAGAAGATTGGATGAGCTCTGCTCTTCGAAGTTGATTGGACCTTGCTTCCTGTCTACGGAGGCACCTTTTTCTTTGAGTCGGATGCCGGTACTTTCTGTTGTTCCAATGCTGAACAATCCAGAATGCTGCGTGTCTTGGACCATTCATACAATTCGATATCCCGCTTGTTCTTTTCTTTCAGGTAGTTTAGGACTTTAGGATAAGGAATTCTCTCTTCAAGCGTTTTGTGTTGATGGTGGCTATCTGCGGATTTTGTGTTCTGTGTCAGTTCAATACCCAAGACGTCAGCCAATTTTTGGAGGCTGTCTCCCAAACAGGCAATGTCAATGACAAAGGTGAAGCGACTGACAAATTCCGTGGCTTCTTCCAAATAACTTTGAGAAAAGGGTGACAAGTGAGCGGCAGACTGTCATCATGGTCATTGTGATGGGCGTGACAGACATACCTGACATCAGTATTGGATCCATTGCAACACGTGCTGTCAGACAATATTCGGAGTGCATAATTGTTGTTGTGTACTGGCTCCTGGGCAAATTGCCAAAAGTCTTCCAAAGTTCCATTATTGCTGGCAACACCTGCTTTATCCCAAATTGTTGGATATTTTCTCATCATTTTGCCATCACCTGCTAGACTGCGGCTGATTGGTTCCTGCCACAACAACGCACAATTAGTTAGTGGATTGGGGTCCGAATATGTAGAGATGAGCCACTTTCCCCCGTGCCGTGCCTTTTCCATACTCACCCTCATTACAATAACTGACACCAAGTTTGGATGATCCCAATTTGTATCCAACATTTGAGGCTGCAAGCGCCCAACACAGGACACCAAATTCAGTCAGGGGGAAGCACGGAAGCGGGATAAGAACCCCCTCCAGCTTGGGAAATGGAGCAACCATCGATCGCAAACTCACCGCTTTTGGTTTTGGCGGATTCCGAAACTCCCATGCGACAAATCGATAGTTTCTTCGTATAATGTCAATGTTTGTGCCAGTCTTATTGTATTCCCATGGGGCTGCTTTGGGAAAGTCGGCGCGTTCTTCCTCACTGAGCTCCTTGGGGCCCATGCAAGCAAAGGAAGGACGTTTCAGACTATAGCCCAGTTCTCGGCACACTGTGGTGCCACCATGATGAGTAATGTGAAAGTTCAACAGGATACCAGTGCCATTTCGAAAATTGGCAATCTGGCGATCCATGATGGCTTGGCGTGGGTTCTTGGGTGGGGTCTTGTCCTCCTTGTCACCTCCTTTCAATGCCATTCCTGCTCTACCATCACTAAGAAATGCCCACAGACTGCAAAAGATTAGACCTACAACCCCCAAACAAACAAATCGATGAATTGCTCGTTTCGGTTGTGTCCTTTTCACTCCAACTTTCTGATTGTTTCTGCTGACGAGCCCCTCAACCTCAGTATCATCAATGCTCCCCATCCTTTGTTTGTTTGTTCCCGTCGATTATGATGAGCCGATGAGCCGATGAGCCCACCAGAGTGAGGCCGAGTGACATTCGATTGATTGGAGTGCTGTTCAGGGTACGCGAGGATATTTTTGCCAATAATCCACCCACCAACGCTCTCGTAGAGCCTTGGTACATTTTCTACAGGGGAGAAAGAAACGGCGGAAATCTGCAATGTAGTTTCTAGCTAGCTAGCTAGCCAGTTGAGCTGTTTTAGTTGTTTGTCAGGACGAAAAATTGGATTTTTTCTACAAAACAAGCCAATGCGCTGGGTACCTGGTACCGGACCCAGGTACTAGTACCACTATTACTTCGTGCGGTACATGTACGATGTACTGGTTCCACCACAAAGCGCGAGGGGAGAAGTTTGGTAGGCGGAAACAAATAAGGAGATTGGGCGCCATGAAGTGGTAAGATATAGTGATTGATCCACTCAAGCTTCGAACTTGGCAGCCAGCTAGCTACTTGTAGCCAGTCCCGGGATACAGCCGTCGTTTCCTTGTCTGTCTAGTAGGTATGAGAGAATGTATAATGCTCTAACAGAAATGCTCGTAGAGCCAGGCCGAAGGACAAACTGTGGGCGCCCTGCTTCGTATTCAGATATCTTGACGATTTCTTGGCCGAGGGGAAGAGGGAGACGTGGTCAAACACCTCGTTGCGAAACGTATGCGAACCAAGACCATGGACCGCTTGAGCCGCTACTAAAGCTAGCTAGCCATAGTAACTCTATAGCCAGGCAGGGGACGTCTCTGTCGTCCTTTTCTTGATGCTTGGTGGATCCCCTCATTATCCAACCAGCACAACAGTTGACGCAACATAAACGCAACACTACAGTAGAGCAGCACAAAATCATTAAAACGTCGCTTACATCCAATCAACACCACATCAAAGGTATGTTCCGGCTTCTCGTCCTCCTTGTTCTCTCCGTTTCTCTTTTTGTTTCTTGCAATGGGCATCCCTCTGCAACCAATCGGATTGTACTGGGAAATGCGGCCCAAGGAGATTGCTATGATATTGACATAATCGATTCCAGCTATTGGCCTGATGACTATGGGCCATGCACGGACCATGGGATAACCTTCATCTACCGAACTGCTGGAAGTGACCAAGTGGCCCTTGAATATGCTGGTGAGGGAGGATACGACTTTGTGGGTGACGAATCTATGTTTCTAGTGAGCTTCAAAGTCTACGTTTTCACGGGATGCGAGGAAGATTCCTCTGATGCTGATTGTGAAATCTATGTCATCAAGGACCATGACACCAACAAAACTGGATCATGTAATTCATGCCGGATGGAAGGTGCCACTGCAATTCTTGAAGAATGTGGAGACATCGAAGATTTGTTTGCAAGTTCTGGTTTGCCTCTCCAAGTGGAGATTGGAAGTGATGACTATGACACACAATTCATCCCATTGGCCAACAGCAGGTGCGAGGGTTTTTCTGCATCGCAAGCGACCACAATTGCTGACCCCACCCCTGCCCCTTCTGGAGGACTCAGAGGAGGAAAAGAGCACACATCTTTGACCTTCAAGGTTTTCATGACGTTTCTCTTCGTTCCAAATGACGGTCAAACACCAGATGCTGAAGAGGCAGAGGAGCTTTTCGGTGTGGTTCGTGCGTTCTTCAAGGCAAGATACCAGGAGAGTCCAAGCTTCCAACAGTGTGGGTTTCAAGACTTGCTTGTCTCCAACCTGGTTCATGAGTCTATAAGTGCTTCTGGAGACTTTGAGATCAGCTATGATGCAATGATTGTCATTGGAAAGGGCTGTGCTGCCAACAAACGTGATGCTATGAATGTGGTTGCCAATAAACAGCACCTGAACCGTTTTATGAATGAACTTGCCAGTGCCAGTCAGCAGGGAGAGCTCCAAAGCAAAGTCTTTTCCCTTGCGCAAAGTGTAAAGGTGCGGGTTGTTGGCCATGGAGCCTCCTAGCTGAGTTGAAATGTGTAAACTAGCGATTCATCTACATGTATGATTCTTGTGCCCAGGCAAATAATCGAATGATTCAATCACATCACCCCTCTGTTTCAACGCCAGCACAGATTGACTGTGTTTTCCCTTTCTTGACGTGTTTGAGGTTCTTGAGACTGGAGTCTCAAAGGATCTTGTCAGATTGACATCGTCTTTCTCAGAGTCAAAGCGCAGGGTACCGGTATCACCATTGATCGTATGGTGATGAAAAAACGCTTCGCCACTTCGTTTTGGGTGTGGTCTTTCGCTTCCTGTTGTGATTGAAAGGGCCCGAAATCGCGATTTACAAGTAATTCTGCTTCATACTTGGGTTTCGATTTTATATTTGAGTTTCGATTTTATATTTTAGTTTCGATTTTATATTTGGTTTCGGCTTGATTTTACTAGTTATTTACCATAGTAATTTGGTTTCGGTTTTATATTTTGGTTTCGGTTTTATATTTAGAAGGTTTCGATTTTATATTTAGGTTTGGAATTGATCAATTTATTTGGATTCTTAAAATCCTGATTTCGGGCCGTACGTTGTTGTCTGGCCTTCAACCATTGGATTCTTTGCCTTAGACCATGTCTGCTGATACGGCGCAAAGCAAAAGCTTCCCGCTTCATCCCAAGCACAAATAAACGAGCAATAATCGGAAGGCCGACTCAGATTGGGTAGTGCAAGTGCGGCAACAGCAGCGGCTACCCGAACATTTAGTTGCGTTTGAGCATGCAGGTGCGCTTTGCACCGACAAGATACTGGTACTTGAAAACGAACTGCCAATGCCTGGGTCGGACAAGGTTCGGGAAGAGCTATTGAAGTACGACTGGGCCTGCAGAAGCGAGCTCGTAACTTTTTCTTGGTGCTTGGTGGCTCTCTCATTATAACTCAAAAGCAATACACAATAGAGCGCAACACCAAACTCGGAGCAACAAAACAACGTATCACGGCATCGACACATCACAACATCACAAACATGTTCCGGCTTCTGGTCATCCTTGTTCTCTTTGTTTGTTGTTGGGTTCCTTGCATAGAGTCTCCCCTGGAACCCATTCGCACCGTGCAGGGAAATGCTAGCAAAGGGGATTGCTATGATATTGACCTTATCGATTCCAGCTACCGGCCTGGTAGCTATGAGCCTTGCTATTGGTATCGAATGACCTTTATCTATCGCACAGCCGGAAGCGAACCAGTGAACTTCACAACCCTAAGATTTGATGGTGATGACGACTATGACTTTGTGGGCGACACATCTGCCTTGCTAGCAAGCTTCAAACTCTGTATCGACTTGGGATGCGATGAAACCCCTCTGATTGTAGAGTCACTTGGATCAAGGACCATGACACCGGTGAGAGTACAAGGAAGGGATGCTATTCATGCCAGATGGAAGGTACCACTGCAATTATTGAAGACTGTGGAGACATGGAAGACTTGTTTGCAGGTCCTGGCTTGCCTCTCCAAGTGGAGGTTGGAAGTGATGACTATCAGACACAATTCATCCATTTGGCCAACAGCAGGTGCGAGGATGCATCTGTATCTCCAGCACCCACCATCGCTGACACCACGCCTGCGCCTTCCACACCTGCGCCTTCCGGAGGACTCAGAGGGGGCGGCAACAAGATCACATCTTTCACCTTTATGGTTTTATGACATTTTTCTTCGTTCCGAATGAGAGTCAAAGACCTGATTATGGAGATGCACATGAGCTTTTGATGGCTGTGGTCCGTGATTTCTTCAAGGCAAGATACCGGGAGAGTCCAAGCTTCAAACACTGCGGGTTTCAAGACCTTCTTATGTCCAACATGGTCTATGACTCTTCCAGTGCTTCAGGAGACTTTGAGATCAGCTATCATGCAATGATTGTCATTGTGGGAGGCTGTGTTACCAATAAACATGATGCTGTGAATGTTGTGGCTGATAGACAATACCTGAACCGTTTTATGAATGAACTTGCCAGTGCAAGTCACCAGGGCAAGCTCCAAAGCAATGTCTTTTCCCGGGCACAAAGGGTAAAGGTACGGGCTGTTGGCCATGTGCCCCCCAAGTAGCTGGGTTGTATCATTTTTAAACAATGGCTTTATTTGTGTTTCTTGTTCCCAGACGGTCGAGTCACTGCAGCCTGACTGCGCCCGCTCAACGAGACTTTGTTTTCACTTGCAAAAAAGAGGTCTCCCATTCATTGTACACGCTTGGGTCTTCTAATTTGTTGCTTGCGTCTTCGACCAATTTCTTGCTTTTCCCGTGCGCTGCTCGATACTCCCACCGGTGGGTCCATCAAACCTTGGAATTCTGTTGCAACGGCAGTCTTCCTTTTGGGCTACAGCTGTACTACAGCGCACCCGTATGGTACCGCCCCGGTACCATAATATGGTTGTGGTCGAGTTGAGTTGTCACTACGAACCCAGCCAGGTTCTTTTTTTAATAGCTCTGTTGGTTTCTGACCTCGACCTTTTGATTTTGGATCTGATCTCTCTGTCTTGACTCGACTCGACTCGACTCACTCGCTGTCGCTCCTCTCTGGACTCCATCGCCCCCCCATACCAACTGGTACCATGGTGGAACGGGCAGGGGGGAGCAAGGGAGGAAGACTAGCTAGCTAGTGGAAGGTGGAAGAGATCAAGGGCACTGCAGTCATCCCACGAAGGGGGGACATACCCTTAAATATTTCGATTCCTCCGAAGACTCAACGCCGACTTTTTTTTACTTTTTGGTGGGTTGTTAAGGGTCATTAAATCTTTGAAATCGTCGTTAAGTAATCAGGGGAACCTTATTGAAGGGCATGCCCCCCTTAGCTGTTTCTATAGTAAAATAGTAGAGGGACCGGGGGCTGAGGTGAGGTAATAATGGTTTATCTCACCTCGGCCCCTCTTTAGGGATACCGGTAGGGATTTGCCGGGTACGCGTGGTGGATGGCAGCAACAACAACTACTACTACCATTGTTGGATGCACAACAACAGCAACAAAGGCACCGTCGAAAATCCAAGACTCCAATTGTGTTGGTTATTTTGGATGGTGGATGGGTACACGCGAGATTGGGAGCGGGACTGAGGACAAGGGCTCTGGGGGAAAGGTGGTATGCTACAAAAAAATGCTCCTTCAAGCCATCCGTCAGAATACACGTAAAGCAACAGTGCACCACAAGCCTCATCCTTTGTCAAAAAGGACATTACTTGGTTCCTGATATCTTCAAAGAGGAAAAGTACAAGTCAAAAGACTTGTGCAATAGATTGGCCATGAGCGAAGTAAAGGGGCCAGGGTCGCCCTTGTTCCATTGCCGAAGCGACGTCATGTACTGTGTTTTTGCCCCCAAAGGAACAACTATAAGAGGGTATCCGTGCTGCATCAAAACCAAGTTTGAAAGAAGCCTGGCAGTTCTCCCGTTGCCGTCTCGAAAAGGATGGATACGAACAAATATGTAATGGAAAGTCACTGCCAAGACAAAAGGATGCACATTCGAATTTTTTGACAGCCAGATAAGGAGCCGCTGGACCAGCGCTTCTGTTTCATCTGGCATGGCGAGCAGCACTTTCGTCGCTGTAATTACCGCAATCTCTTCTTCCTTTTGAAAAACTCCGCCGTCTTCTGAACCGAACAAGACGAGTCTGTGAACCAGTTTGACTTCATCAATGGATATCTGCGAATTACCAACTGCAGCCGATTTTTGCACTTCGTCAAAAGCAGCGGCGTGTCCAACAATGTCATGAACGTCCCGAATAGACCTGCGTCGGGGTCCCACAAATCCAGATAGGATGATTGCCGTCTCCGTATAGGAGATTGGATTTCCCTCGATGGCATTGGAATTGTACGTCATGTCAATTTTCAGTTTCATGAGTAGGTCTGGCATTCGCAACCCGGCGGCGCGTCGTCCAACTCCTAGCTTCATTAGTTTTTGATTGAAGGCATCCACGTCCTTGTCATGTGCAGTTGCACGAAGCTCGAATAATTTGCAGTAATTCGAGAGGATCCGCCCAAATGGATCTATTGTGCCATTGTATACCTTAGTGATTTCATTTTGTATATACTCCACCGTCTCTTCATGCTGCTTTCGAAGCTTCTCTCTCTGGCGCCGCAACCAGTCAACTCGCAATCCAAAGAACGCAGCAAGGCAAGTTCCGACTCCAGCTACACCCCCGACATAATCGTCTCCCGACGATGGGGTTGTCAAGGCTTCCGAGGGGTTTTCATTTTCTTGCAGTGTTATCATTAACCTTACTGCGGAGGGAGAGTCAGGCGCTCAAAAGGTGGAATGCCCTGGAAAACAGGTTTAGAAGGGTAGTTGAGGTAAATATAGGGCTATAGTTATGCTTTACTCTGAATTTTTGTATAAAATGTATTATTTACCGCAACTACCTAAACTCCAAAGTTGTCTTCCTGTTTCCACCACCTCTCACATTGATCTTTCTTCCCTGCTTGCTCTCTCTTTGACCATGGCGTCCCACAATCGTAAGAAGCAGCAAGGCCGCCGCCGTCAAGACAACCGTCAAGACGAACAACTCTTCGGAACCTACGTCAGCGAAGACGGGCCTGTTGGAGCGACATTTGTGAGTCTTTGTGTGAGCGTGGAACGAAACCGTACCCATCCAGATTGTCGCCTCACCATTGTTTTCATTTGTCCTGTTACGTTTGCATAGGTGTCTTTCGATTCCGACGACGCGAAGCTAGCCCTCAAGCGAACCTGGTTCAATAAAAATGGAGACGATCTTTGAACCCACGAAATCAAGTTCAAGACCAGCGCAAACTCGTAGAACTTGGAAGCTTCGAGAGTAGCCAAGCCGCTGCAGCAGCCAACACCGACCGTCGCAGAGTCGTCAACGAACGAGCCCTCGGAAGAGTCAACGACATTTGTAAGACTTGGGTGAACACTCCGAAGCAGTGGTACCTGGAAGAGGAATTCCCCAACATGCCAAAACATTTGATTGCAGATGCAAACGCGAGGATGGATGAAGCCACCGGTGAGGTCCTCAAGACTGTCTCCCAATGTATCTTTGTCACAGTGCAGGAAGTTACGGCGATGATGGAACAGCTTGAGATGGACATCAAGGCAGCGCCCAAGCCCAAGCCCAAGGCCAAGGCAGTGGACACGTCCAAGGCCGTGGCCACCAACCTCCTCAAGAAAGAGGACAGCGACGATGACAGCGTTGAAGTCGATGACAAGTGGAAGGATGTTGATGTCTCCATGGAAACTGTCAAGACTCCCGGCAAGGCCAACAAGTCTGTGGATGAATCGATTGCTTCTGAAGATACTAGTGTTGGTTTCTCTGCCATCCAGGAGAGGTTTGGAGGTGACAATCTCAACGATGACTCCGACTCCGATGAGGGTATATACCAGAAAGGATTGTCCCAGATGCACTGAAGAGGCTGAAGAGTGAGTCGGCTCCATCGTGAATTGTTGCTGTTGTTGCTTGTTGCCGTGATGCGCTCATATCTTCTTCTCTCTTCTTCTCTCTACCAGACATTGGTGCTGTTCCTGCTGATGTTGGCTACTGCTTGTAGCTGTGTGTGAGAGCTGCTCCGGATCCTTCATTCCTGTGTTGCCTTGGAGACTGATGGATGCATGGACGCCATTGTCCTCTTGTTGTGGCTTGTCTTCGATACAAGCTGCTTGGTGTTGGTGCTGCTGTTGGTGGTGTGAGTCGACTATCCTCAACCCTAATGAGCAAAACATCGACGGTTGAAGTTGATGTCTTAGTGATATTTATTTTGCTATATAAAAAACTAGAGTGTGCCTGACCGACTTTCCTCCGTGTTATTTATTTGTTAGTAATAGAATCCAAGCCTCTCTGAAACTAATGTGTCTTCTGCATTTATGTATTCTTCGCAGTGCCTACGGTAAAAATGGTGGTACTTGGCAACTTGAGATTTGCGCTCTCTTCTTTCAGACTCTTCTTCGTCTTCGATAACTTTTAGGAGCAAGAGCTCTGGATCCCGTCAGAGATAGCTCCAACAGCTATGCTGGCCTACAGCTCCAGCACCCACAGCTGGCTTATCTCCAGCCAAAGCAGCAAGAAAGGATCGTCCTTTCTACCATAGTTAAGAAAATAGTACGAAAGATTGAGACCGATCCTGATTAGCTTGTAGCCCCTTTGATACCGCAGCAGTTGATACCTATCCTGTTGAGGCCGGGCAGAAGCAGCAGGAGGTAGCAGATAGTACTGTTCCCAGACTGCCACTGCACGATTGAATAACGAAGGCCCCCAGCTCCTGAGGTGAGCTGGCCCAAAGGGCCCAGCAGAGAGCTCTGCTGGCCCTCCTGTCTGACTGACAGGTCCAAGTCCTTGGTTTGGGTGCCTACTGGAGGTGTTGGATACTCCTGAGGCACTCCAAGGCTCCCTGAACTGCCTGACTACCGCTGTACCTGAGGAAGGGTTTCAGCGAGACCCAGTCCACTACTTGAGTATTGGAACTGAACCTTCAAGAAACTTATTGGATTAACAGTCGCATAGATTTGCAGGCAGTCCTTAAGGGAAGAAGAGACCTCCTTGACGAGAAAAGGATCTCTTCGAATTACACTACAATATATTGGTCTACAGTTGATTTCATTGGAATTTGGTGCTGATTTCAAGCCTACTTTTGAAGTCCTAAGTCAACAACCTTCTGATCGATTTTGATAGTTCCAGCCACCACCACAGTGACAGGAACCTTCTTGTTGACCATCTACCAATACAACCACAACTCCAACAGACATAGCCCATTACCTTCGAAAGGACCTATTCCAACAACACCTTCACTCGACGCCATTGACTCGAGGTAGTAGCACGGTTGACATGAAAAGCAACCAATTCACTCGAAAGAAGAAGGCGTTACGGTCGTACGGTGAAGGAACACCTGGAGTCTCCGAGTGAACGAAAGACTTATTGATTTCGCACCAATCTTGGCCATCGAACAATCCTTTTACGCCTCGTGGAACGGGTTTATTCCTTTCCAGGCAGCCAGCGATTACGTGGTTTATTGCGCTGTTTCGAGGCTTATCTCTTTCCCATCGCCTGTGCAGTTTTTGAGTGTCACGAGCTTCCGTCCTGTACAGATTCGACCGATTTCACGGAAGCCGATCAGCCAATCAGATTGTCCGCGCAGTTTCGAGCGATTTACCGGAACGTACTGGAAGCTCTTCGCGGAATTCGGGCAGCCAATTAAAACGTCCGTGCAGTTTCAGCTGTCACCTGCCCGTTTCGGTACTTATTACGTGTGCACTGAGTCAGTCCTCAACGTCACGCGGAACGTACTACGAGTTCTTGATTGATCTTGGATTTGCGAAGACTTATACGACAGCCGTTCCTCGTACCGGTTTTGTCCTGAAAGCAAGCCCACTTCACGTAACCTGTTTGCGCTCACAATTTAAAGGTTTTACGTGGTCGAGTCATTGAAAATCGTGAAATCGCGATCTTCCGTACATTGATCAGAGCAATCCACCACCGAGTTCGCAACTCGAGAGCTCTCGAGGCAACCAAGAGGTCAATTCGCCTGGCTGAAACTGGTATCAGTGGATCCGCCATCCCTCAATTGGTCAGTGGGTATCTCACCTTGAATTTTAGGAGGTTTTGTGGGGAGATTCATTGGTCCCAGTAAGCTAGCTTTCAGTGTGGCAAAATCTCACCAATCCAAGCCAATTCCCAGCACCAGAGCAATTCAAGAAGCAACTCCCAGTGCTTCTACCAAGGCTACCTTGTTCAACTACACCTAGATTGAATTTTCCAGACCCATAGCAAGGTCCCTGGAGGTCATCTTTGTGGTTTCCCAGCTCTAGTTGAGTCAGCGTTTATTGCACTGCAACAAGAGCTGAGATCCAGTGTGTCCCCAGTACAACCAGTATACACCTCTTCCTTGGCAGAAAGAAAGCAACCATGTCACTCTACATACCCACAGTGACTCCTCCACCATCACGGAAGGCCTCGAAGGCTAGAGAACCAAGGAAACAGGCTAGCCCAAGAACAACTAGCCACACTTCCCCTACAACCCAGGAGGATACGGTCCAGGCCATCATGAAGAGTCTGGATGAGCAGCACACCTCTATCCAAGCCCTTGGCACTACCCTTGATAGTCTCATTGAAGAGCGGCAGTGGTGTATCCATCAGCTGCTTGACAAGTCCCTTAGTCAAAACCTTGAGAAGATCAATGGGAAAGCAGCTGCCCTTAGGCAGAAAGCAGCCGCGACCAGGAGGCACAACCGGTACCACACATCTCTCATCTCTCAAGCACGATTGTGGGGAGTTGCTGGACTAGTGTCACTCATGGTGGTGCCACAACCAACCACCAGTCATCTTCCAAGCCAGCTTGTGGGGAGTCGCCAGCCACTCGTCCTTTTCGAGTACAGCGACCAACAACCAGCTGCCCCATGCCACTCCCTTGGTTGCTCCAGTGCAACCATTTGCCCAGCTGGTGCTCCCAATGCATCCCTGGGTGATGGGGAGATTACAGAGCTGCCTACCTTAGCTCCAGTAGTCACCCAGCTTCTACATTGGCTTATGGGGAGGCCTAGTACTTTAGCCAACAGCAACAACGTTCTAGCTGGACGATTCCACCATCCCAGGAATCCCGCATGTAATCAACCAATGGCTGTCCCTTCCAAGCAGGACTGCACGTCCTTTGTAGACCCACGACAACCAACCCATGTTGGATGCCCCCACGGTTGCCATCAAGGCGAAACACAAGGCAACCAACGCGGATATACCAGAGCCACCTCTCTTTTGTACTCCCAGTGCCACAAGCTCGTGCCAAACGAGAGCATCCCTTTGCAAGCAAGTCTCACACCCAAAGCAGGATGCTTTCAAGCAAACAGTTTCCAGGGCAGGTGCAACAAACAACCTCTGGCTGGAGATCAAAGTGTCCACCATGTCGAACGACACCAAGG